CTTAAACGGGAATAACGCTGTGGGATGCCATAGACACGAAGGATTACTGGCTTTTCTTAGCTATAATTTAAGCCATCGTAGAATAATATGTTAGAAATATACCTATTAATACTATAATATTAACACAGTTAGTAAAAATTATAATTTAAGTGTAAAAAAGCTCTTAATAAATAATATGAATACGGTGTAAATTTAAATGACAAACTTGTCATAACTTACGCAAATAACAAATGTGAGGAATTTCGCAGTTACCAAATGAATGTTTGAAATCATTCACAAAGGTTAAGCTTCTGGTATTATGATAGTAAATAATAATCTCTTAAGTAGGTTCATAGTAAACAACTATTTTTTAACAAAAACAGAATTAATGCACGTAATAAAACTTGTAAAAACAAACACTTTTGTTCAGAACTTGTTTAAAAACTAAACTTAGTTATAAACGCCGAACAATTTCTATTTAAAGCCGGGTTTATTTATGGTAAACCAATTACTTGTAATATGATGCAAGACATACTAGTTGTTGTTTCCGTGCGTTTCAACACAATGGCGCCAAAAGCCGCCATTTCAAATAATACGAAAATAAAAATCTCTTGAGAGTGGAATGTTCCTACTTTTGTATACTTACCTGTTCGTTATTCGTTGATACGAACCGGTTCAGTCAGCTGACGGCTATTACAAATGCATGCAGACAGTGACATATATATTGATAGTACATGACGATTAGCTTTTATTATTTTATTAATGAATAAACAAAACTTCAATACAGATTATTGTGAAGCCATTGTATTATAATCCGATGATTTTCTGTATAAACAAGTTACATTATTATAGTGTTCGTAGCTGAAACGTAAATAATTTTGCTATTTAAAATATATCTTCGTTTCTTTTTAATATAAAAAAACTTATAGACATCCTTGGAATGTGATGCAGAGAAATAACAATTTATGTAAAAAAGAAAAAATTAATTAACTTAAAAATATAACTGCTATCTCTATAAATATTTCGGCTATTTCTTATTTTAGTTTAATTTTTTTTATTATGTATTTAATTAGATTTTTATTACGATTAAATGAATACCAACCTTTTTATTTGTTATAAATTATAATAGAGATGATCGTTTAAATCAAGTTCAAATAGTAATTATAACTGTCGTATATATTATCCTAGATTAATTTATATTTTTATATAATAAGATTTATACATAAAATAATATTTTGAACACAAGGTGTTATAGAACAAATGGAAACAAAAAAATAGAGACTTATGATTCTAATACAAAACATTTTGATGGCTTTACGCCTACATTATTGGTACTGAAAATGTATGAAATATAAAAATAGCGTTAAAAGTGATTAGTACGAGATCGGAATACAAACTGCAAACGTACAGTTCCTATGTATTTGCTAATAAGTAAAATTATTTAATGATAGATTCAAACACATACCTAATTGATGATATAATTTGCGAACTTATACTTATGAAAAACTACAAATGGTCTTTGTTTAGTGTAAAAAATCTTTATATGTAAATTGAACCATTTACTAACGACTTCTTTATGTGAATTCGTAAACGATATTCAACCATACATTAAAACATTCTAAATTTCCTTAAACAACTGATAACCTTTCATTTGATATAAATCATATCATAGGTTAAAGCTTGGAGTTCGTGACTGCATGCACTTCAGGTAAATAAAATCAATCCGTTGCGATTCTATGTCTGATGATTCTTATGATTTATATCTAAAATCTATTCCGATTCTATGTCGGTCGATTCTTAAATCTCATTTGAATATTTTTAAAAATGGAATGCAATCAAATTGGTACATATTATAGGTTGATTTAAATGAGAATGAAAGTTGACCTCGGCTGTATAATGTAAAGCCCTTGTGTTGTTGAAAGTTGTATTAAAAAAAAATTAATGTTTAACACTTATTACTTGCGTATGTAGAAATTAATTACGCACGTAAATCCTAGTAATATTACTAATGAGAATTTTTTTATTTTGATTATGTATGGACGTTTGTTGTTTTTTTTCATACAATAAATTAGAAGAAATTTTATACTTATTTAGCTTAGATATCAGAATAGATCGTATTTTTTGTCCCTAAATTTAGTCAACCACAGGATCAATGTAAAACACCTGTATTGTATATGAAGTCACGTGATTCATACTAAATGTCAATTAAATTAAACTAATATTTTCGGATTATTACGCGTTATTTTAGTATTCCAAAACTACAAACTCCCGACGTTTCGGTTTCATCGCTATGATCACGGGCAGACGAAATGAATTCCCATGAAATAATAAAACGAGTAGTAATAATAATATTAGTTTTTTTCAACTGAATAACCCTGAATCTTAGATCTCATGTAATTATTTGTCTATTGTTTTAAGACATCTCATACAATTCTTTCTGAACCTAATATGACAAAAGTTTTTTATAAAGTAAGAATTCTATAAAGATTTTTATTAAATGTAGTCACATGTCTCAAAACCTTCACAATCTGATGCCCACGCTAAGGTATTAAGGTAACCCTATTAAGATAATAAGGCTTTACCCTACAGACCTCATTTGTACATTAAAGATATTTCCACATTATATTAGCAACACACGATAAACTCAACAAAAGTCTCAATACATATTTATATTATTTTATTTAATGTATCAGATTTCTTAAATCCCTACTAATATTATAAATGCGAAAGTAACTTTGTCTGTCTGTCTGTCTGTTACGCTTTCACGTCTAAACCTATGAACTGATTTTAATGAAATTTGGTACAGAGATAGAGTTGACCTTGAGAAAGAACATAGGATAGTTTTTATCCCGGAAGTTTTAAAGGTTCTCTTGGAAACGCGATATAACCGAACTCCACGCGGGCGAAGCTACGGGCGGAAAGCTAGTTTTCTAATAATAGTTAGTTGCAACATATGTTATATTTAATTGATTGGTTATTTAATGGTAAATTTTGATAGAAAACTCAATGCGAAAAATACTCGTTCTTGTTTTAAAAGTCGATTTATTTATACACATAGAAATTTATATTGATGGCCATATAAAAACAATCTTCACGCAATAACAATAATACGTGAAGCGTCATTTCGGAATACCATTTTAGGAGAATTGCGTAAACAAAAGAAGATGGAATTCAATAGTCAAGAGTCATACGGAGAAGCAATAAATATATCTTTTTGATATAAAATGATTATTTAGAATAAATATTATATACTCTTTCATGATTTTAACGCATAAATAAGTTATTTTGTAAAGTTTCCTCAATGTGAATTGTCATTCATCATGATCATCAGCTTATAGGAGACCACTTCTGAGCAAGGCCTCCCTCTCACATGGAGAAGGTTTGAGCATTAATCACCACCATACTTGATTTGACATTATAAATCCAGGATTCCTCATTGTCAATAATTGTCAAATATATTGACATTTGAATTCTTGGACAGACAGACAGAGTTACTTTCGCATTTATAATATTAGTAGGGATATATATTATTGAATTTCCTTTAATAATAAATATTATTTATGTAACCTTTAAGGACATATAAACGTTACACCTAACGATGTGTGAAAAAGGGTTGTAAAAACCGTTAACAAAAACATTGCCATAACGGACTTAGCACATGTTGCCATTTATATAAATAATTTATCCGTATAACATATCTATATATCATGTTTAATGATTAATGTATATGTGATATTTTAATTGAATTATCATAATCGTTTTATTGACAGGTAAACTGTAATTGATTAGCAATATTTGATATAATTGAAATTAATAAATCAGGGATTTTGTGATAGGTTCCCGCGAAAATCATTTTTATGTACATAAAATTCAATTTGATTTGTAAAATTTTCATGTGAATTGTCATGAAATAAAATATTTTGGCGTTTCTTAAATTTAGGATTCCCCTGGTATATTTTTTATTTAAGTTTTATCATTTAGTAAACTGTGAATATTCTTTTACTAAGGTCCTATCGTAAACACTAGACTTATATTTTTTTTGTTTTTAACATCCTTGTAAGTATTTGGTACTATCAACAGACTCTTTCATCTCGTTATCCGGTGAACTTCCCGTTGAAAATCAAGCCGAGAACTAAATATACATGTGTTAAATCCGTAAATATAGAGTTATTTCAATCCGTATTCGTCGATAACTAAAGAATTAATGAATGGAATGCATTATGAGATAGTGAAGAAAAATAGTAATTGAGAAAAGACTACAAATATAAGGCAAAAATGTATTAAAATTTTGAGGTATATAGATTCCATTTACAAAAAACATAAATATTTTATTAGATTGATCTATTGTTTTAAAATTCAATTATTAATAACAGTTAGGTATATATGTAAATAATCGAACTTTAATTTCCATATATTTAGCTCTATAATAATTAATTTTATTTTTTGCTATGGCAACTATATTATAACAGGTGGTAGCCCCACGCTACCAAACTAGTTAGTACGCTATTCTAATGAGATTTTGTTTAATATCATACAAGCCAAATCTAGTACTATTATATATAGTCTGTTATGAATAATCTATAGTTTACAATAATATAGTTTATATTGTATCTCAAAATTCCGTATAATTCCCACGGGAACACGTAACTGTTTTTTGTATGACGTCACGTGACACATGCTCGATGTCTGTTGATTGGTTGTCAACATTTTTTTCAATCAAGCATTCGTTTGCATATTATGAATTCATTAATAAAGTCCGCTGCGATATAAATTTTAAATGTTGTTAAATATGGGGCATCGACAAACTTGAGTGTACGTTTCAAAATAATACTAATTTTGACCATAATTTCTGGTTTTATAAAAGAGTATTCTTTTAAGCTATTTTTAGAAATGGATTTTTGGTACTTTAGTTTTAAAAATGCTAGTCGCCTCATAAGAAATAATAGCGGTACATATGTGACATGACTCAATATTGTATGTTTATATATAATTATCTTAATAAGTAAATATTATTTTTTCAGATCAAATAAATATCTTCAGAAGTCTGCCATCACCCGCGTGTGCGCTGTCGGAGGCTTCTTCATATCTATACCCGTGTTTTTAACCGGTAAGTTTTATACCGGTTAATTTAACATATCCTACATACAGCTTAATTTACCGATATTTACCGATTCGAGAATTATATTTAATGTATAAGTAAGAAAACGTATTAATTGATGTTTTTATATTTTCTTAACTCACTTTTATTAATACATTATTTTTATGCTTACTTCAAGTTTGCCAAATCACACTACATTCGGAACGTTTCCAATTTTCATTCATTAATCTTCACACATTTGTTTTGACGTATATTATTGAGTGAGATACGTAGAACGCTTCGTATGTAGTGTGAAGATACCAACTCGTTCTAAGGATAGAGTCATATTGTAAATATAGAATAAGCATGTCTCAACACGTTATAATATTGAAAGGGCACCCGTGTCGTTTTAACGTGATTCAACATGTTTGAACTTGTCTCCAGATGATTCTTTATATTATAGAAGTGGTTTTTGTATGGACATTTTTTAGACCAAGGACGTTAGGGCCAAAGGAATGATACATAGAAGTATTTTATATAATTTTTTGTTACATTGATATAAGCTAGAATTGTGTGCCGCAAAATTTAGATATCAGTAAAATTGTACGTTGTTTTGAGTACCTACCTGTGCCATTTCGCGTATTAGTAACATATTCTAATAATGTTTGTTAGATAAAATTTTAAACGATAAGAATAAAAAGAATGTCTTCAAATAAAACGCAAAACATTCTATATTTAAATGATAATTAAAAAATGATTTTTTCTAATTTCAGGTATAATTTTATACACGTTCATACAATTCCATTCAACGCCGGCGATCGTGACGTCAGTGTTCATTGGCGTTGGGATAATATTCTGCGGCTGTGCCATGGTTCATAATGTTTTCGTCTGGCAGAAGGAAAAAACTAACTTGGTCAAAGCATTCAGGACAGAAAATGCATCTAACGGCGTTGTAGCGAACGGCCATCTTAATAATACTGGAAACTTAAGTTTTCATAGCATGACGCAATACAATCATCCTATAACGCTTCTACAGCAAGGAGGCCCGTATGTCATAAGGTTAGTCGATTTTCTTTATTAAAACGAAAACAAGAGCAAAAAAAATATTAAAAAACCGTTTGAACTTTGAACTTAATTGACATTGACATAAGTGTTATAAATAAAAATGACGTTGACAGTTGAAGTTAATAAAAAACGTAATTAGCAATTTTGTGTTTCTAGGTGATTGTAAATATAACTAGAGTCTTGTTTAAAAATAATAATAAATAAACGCCTTCATTCCATTCGACAAAATCTTTTGTGTTTTTTTCTTCACACAGTACTTAAGGTTATAATTCGTTCAACAAATAAAACGTTGACATTCGCAAAATATTTCATGAATTTCCAGTGTGAATGAAGTCGTAGCATAAAAAATAATAATTAGCAGAAACGTATATCAAGCAGAGGTATTAAGTTATTTTTTAAATGCTAAAGAATATGTAGATGAATATTAGCAACTTTTCTATCTAGTTAAATAAGGCCATGAATTTTATAAGTTTGAAAAACTTTATAGATAAAAAGATTGTCCTTTATTTCAATTCAGAAAACTTTTAACGAGAGCTTACATTATTACAGTTAAGTACGAAATGGCTTGTTAATAATTTCCTTGTCAAAGAAAAAATATCACCTCATTAAAATTCCTATAGATGGCGTTATTTGATAACGGTTGCACTGCCATATTCAATTGGAGCTACAGTTAGATAAAATGAGTTAATAATCCAGGTCCATAATAGATTATTAAATGAACGGTCATCGAAAAAAGGTAATAAGCTATAACCAATGTAACAAGACCTTTCACTGGATCTCGTTTTATTTCATACCTCAATATCATCTCAATTTACATAAGCATTTTATTGCGAACCTGTTTTGTGCTCATTGGAATCGCTCGTTTAAAAATGATATTGTAGATTTGTTAGCGATGAATATACGTTGCGGTCTTAACTGGTTTAATATTATATGTGCTCTATTTAATTAATACTAAATCTAAGATTATTTAGACACCACTGACAGACGGTGAAGGAAAACATCGTGTGGAAACCAATTATAAGTTTGAAATCACCAACCCGTCTTGAGCAAGCGTGGTGATTAATGCTCAAACTTTCTCCATGTGATAAGAGGCCTTTGCTCAGCAGTGGGCTGTGATAGGCTGATAATGATGATATATAAATCATATATTTTTTTCAGGCCTCCAACGAGTACTCCGCCGGGGGAAGGCGCCGCGTCGCCCGGAGTACCAGCCGCCACTATCGACCTCAGTCACGACACTCACGAGTTGAGCACACTCGTATAAAAACTTATAGGACAAACTATTTGGACCTTTGACTTATTTTAAAAATAGAATGAAAATATATAAATACTAATTGGTATAAATAACGGATGAATAACTCGGAGCTTAGCCTTAAATTTGAATAATCAAATTAAAAAATATATTTAAAGTTCTTGTATGTTTTGTAAAATGCACTGTTAAGTGTTTAAAATTTTGTTAACCTTTGATTTACTAAAGATTATATAAAGAAGTAGTTTTATAAAAGTATATCTTATTAATTTAATCTAAAGAGTTTTTTACAATGAAATAAGTTCAAAAGGCAAAGATGATTCCGTCCAACAACAATATAAAATTTCTTTTACAATGTCCATTATTCAACATTTGTATTGCAGAGAAGTACTATAAGACTACAAAAAGAAAATGTTTTATAATTTAAAATAGTTTATAATTACTTAAAGATAATAATTTAAGACTTCACAATTACATCATACTGTGTGTAATTAATGTATATAGTTTTTAATAAATAAGGATCCTTGGCCATTTAATGTAATAGGTAAATCTTATTAAGTTTAATTTTGGGCCTATAAAAACTCATTTAAAACATATATATACTTTTTAGGATTGAATAAATGTAAATAATCTGTGGCTAATTCAGCTACAACATAAAGCCCACCCTGCAAATATGAATAAAACAAAATCAATCTATCAAAATGTATATTTGTACATAGTTAAATGAAAACTGGAGGCATAATTTAATTTATTTTTAACAGATAACAGCATTTCTATTATTAGTTTATGTTATTTGACTTAAAATAAACTTTATTTATAAAGAAATAACTGTTTCTTTTCCTTTTTTCAATTTTTTCTTCCGTCCTTCGCCCTGTAAAATAAATATAAAATTAGAAAACTGTCATCTATAAATGAATTTGTATTTGTTTAAGGATTTTCCAATTAGTGATGTTTTATAACATACAATTATGTTTCATCTATAAAGAGAATGAATATATAAAATCCTATAAGAAAGTGTTACAAATACATTTTTATCACGTAATTGAATAAAAACTATTATTGATACAAAGAATGTATTCATCACGTATTTTAGAAATCATAATTCTATTGGCCAACATTAATATAAATATCAAAATTTTAAAATCTATTTTTGTTAGTTATATGTATTGCAAAGTTGTAATACTGAACATACATTTAATTTGAGTCGAACCTTTAAATTCCCAAACGCAACCGAAGTGACTTAAAAGCGATGACCTTTGCTGTGTTCACTTTTACGCGGGAAAGTATTTGTCGACTCGACTTGAGTTTTTGTAAATTGAATTTAACTTATTCGAGGTGTTTGGGTTTAAGATAATAATTAGTTTGTTCTAGTTAAGATCTTATTAGTTATTTTAAAGTACTGGCTTTATAAGAAAACTATATTTTTTAATGATTTTGTTAAAATCCTAAATACATATCGCTCATCCAAAAGAATATTGACGTTAAAAGAATAGGTATATACTTATCTAAGAGTAGCATAATCTTTAAGGAGCATAATTATTATAAACTGGTAGGAATATAAAATAATATCACAATGATTCATTAATCTAACAATTTTGCTATAAAAATTTGTCTTAATCGTTCACCAGTCTTAATAGTATTTATCAAAATCTGCACGAATGACAAATACGTCGATGTTTCCCCGGAACCGTACGTAAAATAGGCCAAAACCATAACGACAAAATATAAAGTTATGGCATCAAAAACACTTTTCCGTAATTGTGTCATTATTCTTTTGGATGAGCGACATATATTAATAAAACTCATCACCTTTTCATTCCTTGATATAAACCAGTGTAGTAACCGCTCATGTACCAGCTCAGTAGCATTGAAGACAACGCTTGGTCCTCTGACTCCTGTGGTGGATGTAACATTGGCGGAGGAACGTCTAGCGGAGATAACTAGAACAAAAATGTTATTAAATCTATATATAAATATAAAAGAAAGTCGTGTTTATTACAACCTTATAACTCGAGATTGACTAGACCAATTTTCATGGTTTTGGTTCGTTCGATTTGTCTTCGCCCCAAAGAGTAGAATAAATCTTAAAAAAGAAAACTTAAAGAAAACATGTAAAGGATCGAACTCCGGTTCCTAGGATATATCTAACCAGGTTTTATCTGTCATTTGTCAAACATTTGTTGTCTATCCTGTCAAATACTATGTATATGTAATGGTTAACATGAGTTCAGATATAATGACAAATGATAAACGTGATAATAAACGTTTACGCGTGCGTTTTTTAATTTATTTTGTGTGAATTAAAGATTATATTCTAGCGACATCTATCGAAAGAAATTGAAGTTTCGTGTAATTAACTCATACAAAATTATAAGAGATGGCGCTAGCAGTTTAATAAATGCAGGCCTTGATTTGAAATACATTAAAATATAGAAGTTACATTTTAATACTGTTTTTTGAATATTATTACTTGAGATCCTGACAGACTATTGAAATACTAAAAACTTATACTATTATAGTACCTATTAATTTAAACGTATAATAATATATAAGAGATATAAAGCTAGCAGACCCGGCGAACTTCGTATCGCCCTATAATCAAGAAATATCAGCTGTTAAGTTTTTATCTGAATGAAGTTAATTTCCTTATTCCTCTGAAGGGAGTTTGTATGTATAGCTATTTTTTTTGGAATATTTTTATTTTATTAAAATACCAGTTAGAATTCAATAATCACAATTAAGAAGATAGACCATTGTCTGTCGAGTAGGCTGTAAATAATTAAGTAATTAACTTCATTGAGATAAAAAGGTAACAGATATTTCTTGATTATATGGCGGTACGAAGTCCGCCGAGTCATTTAGTCTTATATATAAAATTCTAGTGTCGAGGTGTTAGACAGAGAACTCCTCTGAAACGGCTTGAACGATTTTGATGAAATTTTGTGAACATATTGAGTAGGTCTAAGATGTAGATGAAAGCTTAATTTAAGAAACTTAATAACTTAATACTTGATAAACTATTCTATAGAGCATCAAATATGAAAAAAATATCCCAAAACCCAAATATCATAACTTAACTTCATATAAAAATAATTTACAGCAGAAGAAAAAAACTGTAAAATATATATGAATGAATGAATTCTGACACAGTTGATATTCTCACGTAGCTCAAGAAACTGGTAAAGAAATGTTTAGTACTGAAAAAAGTACTTTTGGACTAAATTGTCAGTTAAGAGGTATTGGTACTTCATCGACGACATATTAGATTTTTATTTTATAAAATACATAACTTTTGATTTGTGGTACTTAACTATATTATAGAGTTACAGAAGTTCACAAAATCTATTTGTAACTAATTTAAATTCTTGTAAGTATAAAATTTCATATTTATTATGGAGTCAATTATATTTCTGTGAGATTTCACCAAGGTATAGAGAAAAAGATAATGCTTATAGGAAAAAAAAAATACTTACATTTCTAAACTGAGATAAATTTGGCAAAGGAATATCTGGGAATTCAAAACTATTTCTTTGTTTTTGTTTATTTTTCTTTTTGCCGTTTTTTTTCTTTCTCTGTAAGGATGCTAAAAATAAAGAAAAAGATACATTCTTTAATAAATCCTCTAATTTTTATAAAAAATCAATAAATTGTAGTAACAAAACCATTTAAGAAATTTCATTATTAATAATATGAATGAAAACAAAATACCGAAAAGTATGCGATTGTAATATGAACTAACATGCTTTTTACTAACAAGAAAAATATTTGGTATAAATCGATTTTGATCAGACTTTCTCTGTTTGATAGCTAATCTTATAAATAAAAAAAATTGAGTTTATTTATTTTCTTTCCCCAAAGACAATTTATTCTTCATCAGCTTACTTTAGGGATGTAAAAGACTACTAAAATATAATTATATCATGTACTTTTGAGAAAAAACATTAGTTTTTCACGTAAAACTGTACTACCTGTGCTTCCAGGCGATGTAGCTCGATCACTAATGTCCATATAATTCTGTAAATCATTATTTTTATCGGCTAACGAATCCTTTATTTGTTGTTCACGTTCTGCATTACCCAAACTTTGTTTCAAATCGCTCATTGATACTAGTTCTGTGTTATCGTAACCTGAAAATTTAGATTTTGGATAAATTCCTTTTTTTTAGGAGTGCAAATAAGTTTCCGCCGTTTTATTGTAGATGGCGCGGTACTGAGTTTCGGTTATTTTTCGCAGATGATAACCGGCTTAAAAAATAGTTTGGACATTCAAGAACAACATAACCTATTAATATAATCGATTTTATATTGGTAAAATATTATTTTAATAAGTAGAAAATGTCAAAATTTAAACCAAGTAAGCGTCATTTGGGGGGAAATATTAGTTTACTTCTATAATTTAAAGAAATCTGCTGCTGAGGTGCATCAATTACTCGTAGGAGGGTGCTTTGAGTGAGAGAACGTGTTCGAGAGTGGTTTCAAAAGTTTAAAAACAGTGATTTCGACGTAGAAGACAAAAATCACAGTGGAAGGCCAAAAATTTACGAGGATGCAGAATTAGAGGAATTATTGGAGGAAGTTTCATCTCAAACACAAATAGAGCTTGCTCTAACATTAGAAATCACTCAGCAAGCAGTCTCACATCGTTTAAAATCAGTAGGAATGATTCATAAACAAGGAAATTGGGTTCCGTACGAATTCAAGCCGAGAGATTTAGAACGCCTATTATGCTTAAGTAAAATGCTGCTAGCTAGACAAGAAAAGGGTTTTTTACATTGTATCTTAAATGGTGATGAGAAGTGAATACATTATGACAATCCAAAAAGAACAAAATCATGGGGATTACCTTGCCTAGCGTCAACATCAACAGCAAAACCGAATATTCACGGAAGAAAATTTATGCTGTTATTTGGTGGGATCAGCTATTCGTTGTGTATGAGTTGCTTAATCCGAGCGAAACAATTACTGGAGCCCTCTATAGAACACAATTGATGAGATTGAGCCGAGCTCTGAAGGAAAAACGCCCTCAAAACTATTCTAGACACGAAATATAAGTTGCGGCTCCCGTGAAAAAGTATTTGGAAACACTTGATTGGGAAGTGTTACCCCACCCGCCGTATTCACCAGACATTGCACATTGACATTGGCATTGATTCGTGGATAGCCTCAAAATACAAGGAGTTCTTCAGACGTGGGATTCGAATGCTGCTGAATGGGCAATATTTTAAATAAATTCATATTACCGTTCTTCTATAATAAATATTTAATTTGTGTTAAAAAACGGCGGAAACTTATTTGTACTCCTGTATATAATTATTCAAAAATTAGGAAATTTATATAAATATGGGTGACAAGTTGGACAGTTATATTATTTATTCTGACAAATGTATGATAAAGCTGTTAATAAATGAAGTTATAATAATGTATTTAAGCCTCAGAGAATATAAAAATATAAATATCAAAATTATATTTACAATTAGACTCAGAACAGATTATAACAATTATTTCATAGTTCATATTAAACCTAAGAATATAAAAGAAAAAATTATCATACCTATAAATTTAATAACACATTCTTTATCATTAATAATTCTCAGGAGAACAGCTTCATACTCAATTCCATCTCCTTCATAGACAGCCCGACAATGCATTCCGACTTTCCACTTAGAGGTTTTATTTGGTTTTGACTTTGTTTTACTGTTAGCTGGAAAATAATTTGATATAACTTTTAATATAAGGTGTAATATTGTCTGTGGTAACTGGTTTTGTCAAATGGTAAAATAAATAGGCTTTATTATATTATAGGTGATATAGTCTTATGAAGAAACTTAAATGGGCAAAAGTAAGTATAATGCATTAATAGAAATTATTGTAATAATAAGAAATATATCAATTCTTATATAAAAGTAATTCAATTCAAATAATTGTCCTTTGAAAATTTATCTAGTTATTAAAGGAATAATTTGGAGAGGGCAGACAGCAGTACATTGTAAAAAAGAGAACAATTAGATATTTGCATAGGTACTCAGTATGGTAGGTTTGATTAAAGCTGAGCTTTTCATATGTGAGAGTGCACACGGATATTGTAGGTGTGATGTAAAATTTTTGAATGTAACATTCTTTTCTAGTTTTGAAACGGTCTATTCTGTTTATACTCTGCCCCAAATGTTCCGCACTTTACCCTTTGTACTGATAGCAATGTCAAATGTTGAAAATGCAATGTCAAGTGAAGAAGAAATCGAAAGTTTGTAGGTGTGTATGATTGTTACTTCTTCACACTCAAACGGCTGAACAGATTTTGATAAAATTTTGTATACAGGAAGCTGACATCCAGGAATAACATATAGGCTACTTTACTCCCCGGAAATCCCGAAAATCCCAGAAATCCGCGGGTAACACCACGGGGCGCAGCTAGTAAAGTTTAATTCTAACACTGTTTTGTCTAACTCTACTTTTACTTTCACTCACACAAATGCAAAGTTCAGCTTAAGTCTAATGGACTAAACCCGTCTTGAGCAAGCATGGTTGTTAATGCTCAAACCCTCTCCATGAGAGAAGAGGTCTTTGCTCAGCAGTGGGCTTTAATAGGCTGATGAGGACGACACACTACATATACAGTTATATGCATTTAGTAAAAATCAGTTATGTATTTAATTTTGTTTTCCTCCATTCATCCTTTTAAACACCTAGGAACTTAAACAATTTTATTTATTTGTATAGTCAATATAATAATCATATACCATCTTTAGTTTGTGCAGTGTTAGTCGACATTGCTACCCTCTTTGCAACCTCGGCATTTGCTATTTTCAGAGCTTTGTCATATGCATCATTGAGTTTGCTATCGTCCCAAATATCTTCTTCAGCTTCGTCTGTGTCGGACTGGAAATTTAAATAGATTCGACTTATTATTATCGACAAAACAAACTATAATTTTAATGAATATTTCCCTGAGCACTCTCTCTTCTACCTAGCAATTTCCCAGCTATAGCCAGGGTCTGCCTTACATGTTGTGAATAGTTTAAGGCTATTTGTTTTTACGACCGGCCGCCTGCCTGACATCAACCCTCTTTTAGGAATCAGCATTAATCAGTGATGTCTAAATATTCTTAGAAAGTACTTTTGACTCGGAAAAATCACATTGGTACTTGCCCGGGTAAGAATCGAACCCGCGCCCTCGGCAACGAGAGGCAGGCCCTCTAACCATTAGGCCACCACTAAGTAGCACTATATAGTATAAAAAAACAAACATTTGATCTAAAACATCTATAAATTAAATAATATTTTTCGTTCGTTTATAAAAAAAGTACAATGTTTATAAAGACATTTAAAGCGTCACCCTGACTCGGAACTTGAAAAAACAATAGACATTTTTTACTCACAAAAGCCATGCCTTTTACATACAAAATATCATTTCTGGACATTTTGTGATATGAATACGGTCTTATAACACTGTGAATTTTTCTAAAAAAATGTAATTTTTTTTTCGTAAGATGCAAAATGTTTGGTTCGAATGTTGTTTGACAGATGAAGAGATAATTGAAGTTTCTAGTTATTGATAAATGACAAATGACATAACAGATAAGGAATGTTATACATAGTCAAATTTTCATTCAAAGTTAAGTAAATTAATTATTGATGCCCATCCGGCTATACGACTTTGAATTTGTCTGTTGTAAGGAGAGAATTTTAAATTCTATATGATAATAAAAGTTCTCGCATTATATTTATTTGTGATAATATTCCTTACACTTAATATCCAAATCAATTAACTGTCAACTCAGACCCTATTAAAAATTAAAATTCAATCTGACAAATTAATGTTACTAAGATGCTAATACAATGAAAAATTTTCAGCTCATATGTAACTAAAATCTTTAAAAATAAAAAGCAATTAGTCCATCAGCTGATGTGTTCCTTCATATTTCAACGTTAATTCGACATAATAGTAGGATTCAATTCATTATATAAATAAAAATAAAATAAATAATTGATGCTATAGCTTATAAAAATATATATATTTCATTTTACTTTAATTCTACTCTCATTTATCCCTACAGTACTTTTCCCTCTTTCATTTCAGTAAAATTTTAAACCCTATAAAGTTGTATGGAACAGAAATGGCCTCCTGTGAGTCATTACTAACTCAATAGCTTCATAAAAGTGGGCCATATTGGCACAGGGTATTATATACTGGAGCCTTAGTGGTAGGTTCTAACTTATTTCATTTAGTCCAAAGCTTTAAGCTTTAACTTTTGTCTTCAACACAGGGATATTGTTTATAGTCGTGTCTATGTCTATAAAGTCCATATTAAAACATTTTTCTTTGTTATTTCTTTTACTTGACTACGTACATTTTATTTAATCATTACAAATGTTAAGTTATAAAGATGAATCAATTCAAAATTCAACCTTTAGGTAGGAATACCTAAAGGTTGTATATTGAATGACTTCTTCGTAATAAAATTTAAATTAATTGTACTGTATATATTTCGCTTCAGGCGCCATGTGTTAAAAATGTTATCAGGAAATTAATTTCCTTTTTGATCCGGATTCGTAATATTTGATTGCAAGATGAGTTCTTAAATTCATTCACATCTTATTATAACATGATATAATGAAATATAAAAATTACATTTAATAAAAACTAAATTGAAAGGAATAGACATATAAAGTATAAATCAATATAGTAATAGATTTTAATAAGTTTTGTAAGAAAGTATGATTATGAAAATATAACTAGGCCAGAACGACAGCCAGTATTTAACGTATACTTATAATATATTTAGTAATAGTCTTTTTCATGAAAAACCTAACACGTCTGACATAATTAAACCATTAGGTACTAAAAACTTTAAATGAAAACAACAATTACTTAACATATTATAATTGACATTTTTGAGAAACAAGTTAATTTTTACTATTTAAAAATATGTATTGAAATTTTTAATTAAAGTAAAACATTCTTGGAGATACTTAAGAAAATTTATTCACAATTATGTTTGAAAGCTTTTCTTTTAAACAATGATAATTTCTTCATGAAATTTCCTTAAAAATGGCTGAATATCGTTATGAAACATTTCCTAAATAATAAATGAGGGAGGTTTAATGAAAGCAGACAATCTGACAGTGGTTATTTGTACCTGTCGGTAGCAAGAGCGAGAAAAAAATTACATCGAGGTAACGAGCGAGGGATTTATCATAACTAAATGTATGTAGCCTCGTTTTATGACAAGAAGTCTTCTAGCTTTTGGGGGCAAAATATCATTAATTAATAATTTTGTCAGTGTATCCGATTAGTACAAATTTTTGTTTATTAGTATATGTACTTTGTTTTTTTCTGCTCCAATCGGTAACTATTTAAGTATTAAGTTCTTATTAATTTAAACCTCACTTAACAAGAGAAGTTTTCTCCCTGAAATTTTAAAAGATATTAGTCGTAAGTTTCATTATTTCCTAAAGCTAATAAACTTTGATAATCATTTTATTATTATAATTATAACAAATAAGAGAAACTGAATATTTATTTAATATAGGTATGATTTCTTTAATAATTGCGTCAGTGAATGTGTTTTTGTAATTTTACGTATTTAATTTATTCTAGAAATTTTGTATAAACACTTGACTTTAATTTAAAGAATACAATAAATTTAATAATAATAATAATAATAATAATAATATACTAGTCCCGACATGCGGGAACTTTCAGATATTAAGCTGAAAAGAACAGATACTACACTTTGATCTTAGCCAAAAGGCCGAGAAGTGATTAATAATCATAATACTAAAGATCATTATTATATAAATTTGAATGAAAAATATTTTAATTATAATGCTCATAATTATGGATTAAACTTTTAATTTGTTCCGATTACACAGCACATTAGCAAAGGGGATCCATTATTTTAAAATATTTAAAACTTTATCAATATTAAAATAGTTGCTATAAGTTAGCCTGTTTCTATTAAAAAAAATAAGTAAATCAACCCATACTTAATATTAAATTAGAAAATAAAGCTTTCTTATTTTTTATAGCCCCATGCTATTATTGTTCTGTTTGTGGTGCAGACGAAAGAAAAACTGACATCGTAAATGAAAACTCTTTCTTTCAGTATGTATCTTCATCTTTTTACAGGCGATAATGTAATATTCTAATTTAATTTTTAATTTGTTGAGCAGTATTACTAAATATCGTTTAATAAAAAACTTGATGTTTGATTTGTAAGTAAAAAGCGTTTATCTTTCAATGGTTAATGTATAATGGATGATTGTATTTTGGTAGGTATAACTAGAAAACAAAGCACATATATAATAAAAAGCAGAAATATATCAATTTAAGGAATCTTTTGGTCTCCAAGGATATTTTTAAGTGTATATGAGTATGAATGTTTTATTGTGCTACATGTTGTAAAGAAATTAGAAGGTAGATTGGTTTAAAATATCAATAATGAGTTTGAATACATTTATTGACAGTTATTTAATTATCCTGGTAAAAATTTTCGTGTTCAGCTATTTGGAACATTTTTATTTTTGTAACTTCTTCACGTTTATCTACATATTTAAATACTTTGTTGGACTCAAAATATGCAAACAATGATAGAAAAAAAAGGAACAAAAAGATAAAATGTATGTACTTATGCAAAGGTGTTGTTGCTATAAGCAGTCTCTTCCAGATAAAACATTGCAAGATAGGATGTATGTATTAAGATAAATATACAAAAAATAATATTTAAATAACATGACATACTAATAAAATGTAATATATTTATATATATACAACTACATTATACCTATAAATTTATCAACATATTTCGTTTATATATCAATAAATATGATAAAACATAATATACTAATTACATTGTTTGATCTTTGAAATAAAAGCCAATAATTACTATTCAATAAGCATCGTAAAGTCTTTCGTTTAAAAACATGCCTATGTTATATAATATATTATATGAACCCCCCTTAATGCATTACAAATGATAAATCGTAATATGTGAAGAATTAGATAAAGTTCTTCGAAAGATATATATATTTTATAAATGATGTTTTAAAATCAGTTACGGGTAGTTAAACAATTTTGTTCAAAATAAAGTCAGTGTGTAAAATCGCAAAACTAAGGAAACTCTAAATCTTTAAGTTTGATTTTGATTTAAAGATCATTTAAAAAGGTGTTTTATCATTGATATATATGCAGCTTTAAGGCAGTTAATAGAAAATGTGAAAATGAAATCTGTGGAGGCATCTGTCAATGGAAAATCATAAATTGACACAAGTGTCAACAGGTAAATTTGTAGATTCGGCCTTTTTCCTATTTATTGTTAAAATTATAGGAATATTAATGTAAGGGTCTAAGGGATATATAGTGATATTTGTTAGTAGTAATAAGACTTTCCGGAGAATTAATTTTGTCCAATATCTTATGTGAGCCTATTGTTTGAACATAATAAACTTAGTATTAAAAAATGGAAAGGTTTTCAATATAAATTTTGAGCAGTAGAGGTAATACAACTGTGTAACTTGCGTCTTAACGCATAAATAATATGGATTCAAATGAAAATAACCAAAGTGACCAGGTGAAAGCTTCGGAAACATCGGCATTAAAATCTGAAGCTGTTAAAGAAGAACCAGAGGACAATGAAAATTTTGAACTCTCAAATTATAATAACGTTGAAAAAATAGATGTTGATGCTAATACGAGTAATTTACCATCAAATGGCCAGAAACGTAAGAGCCCCGAGAAATCATTGCCGGAGAACGATTGTAATGATAATTCAAATAGCATAAAAAGACGAAGGTATACTGATACAGAAACTGAGGATCAGGTCGATACTATTATAGAAGAAAGACCTAAATTCACGTTGATAGTGAGCAATGCGAGTGGTGATTGGACATCACAACAGGTTCTCAACTTCATCCGGGATACTGTGAGTTAATTTATTTATAATATGTATAGTTTTGTTATTAATTAAATACAGAATAAAGCTTCCACTCTCATGATTGTGAGTATTGTTCCTATTGATAGTCATTGTTATGTTAAAAGCACCATATGGACTTCTTAAACTAATACTTGGTTTGTTATTGAGATGTAATAGGATTCTCATTTGCTCAATGCATATACTTGTAAGGCAGCCTCAGTATGTTTGTTTGATGTCTGGTTAGGTACAGAGAAGAGCTTGGAAGGCTGAGGTGAGCATTTAACTCGCATTAGATAGGAGCCCCTTAAACCTACTGTAGGATTCAATAAAACTATATTAACTTAGTCATGTATGTATTGTGCTAAGTAGCAAAACTGACTGACAGCAACTAATACAATAAAGTAATCTACCTACATTACATTTGACATCATATTATTTTAACAATATTGAGCAAGTATAGCTAATAAATAACACCTACACCTGGATCGCAAGTCTCAGGTACTGTTAAAGCTCCTTTTCTTGCAATACTATGAAACAGGTATCCACACAGTGAATCCATTGAATGCTGAGTATTATTGCTGTTATTCTTTTAGTGCACTAGGTGTATTTATTTTTCATCACATATAACATATGAAGTATATTTCTTATTGGAATATGTTAAAAATACTTAGTTTAATGATGGTTTTAACCCATAGACTAGACATTTTTTTAAGATAGTTAACATTCAGTGCTGGCGAAAGTATTGATTTCATTTAATAATATAAATACAATTATTTATTGATCAAAAGTTTGATATAATTCTAACATTTTGGAAAGTTTCATACTTGAGTTAAGAGTTTTGTAATTAAGATAATAATTTGACTGTATTATATGATAGATGCTGCATAAACTGGCTTCTATATGATATTAATTAGGATTAGTAGTTACTTCATGGATAAATAAAGTGGTGGATTAAAATTAGGTTGTCACAATAACTTCATATAAACTTTTGAGGGTGCATTTTTAAGCAATAGTGAATCTAAATAATTTTATATAGTTTGTTCTTAATGTGTGACACCATCATTATAATTTTTTTAATTCTGTGTAACTCTAACTCAGTGTTTCTCAAAGTGGGTGATAATGCAAAACTTATGGGCTCTGCTGACCTAAAGTTGGTGGCAAGAAATCAAGAAAAAAGGGGCGTTGTATAGAGGGCTTGATGTGATTTGTAATTTTATTCAGCTAGGATAAGTTATAGTGGTTCAGTAGTTAAATAAAATGTGGGTGCTAAAAAATAATTTATCCTTAAGTGGGCTGTACACAAAATAAGTTTGGGAAACCCTGATATAAGTACTGCATTATGACTTGATTGGTTTGTATTATCATTTATTTATTAGTTTGTACTATTATTAGCACCCGACTTGGTTTATTTCATCGATATTATGTTTACTTATTCGAGGACTCGTCAAACTTTTACTGTCACATATTTGGTCTATGAAAACATGTTGAGAATTTGGTTTTTAAAATGTTTTAAGGCAATTTAAAACAAAAAAATAGTTTTTTTTAATGTGGCTATGTAAAAACCATGACCATGATTTAAATCAATATAGTTGGAAGACTTAAATTATTAATAATTGCAAGTTTTGAAAACAGGTGCATCTAAGTTTTTGAATAATATGTACACAAAAGTTTTTCTTTTACATAAAATCTCTTCTTTTCACATACATTCAATAAACATGGGTCATTTGTAATTTATCATATAGTGTCTGCCTTTTGTCATTGATGCAATTTTTGTTTCTTTATTGTACTGTTAATTTGCAGTAACATTTAATACATATAATGTTATATGATTGAAATTATTAGAAGCATAGTGGAAGTTTTATTTTGTTAAAAAAGTTTGATTTTCAAAGATTATAGTTTTTTTGTTATAATGCATTTCTCCTATGGATATATTTACATAACAAAATATGTTTTTATTTGATGAAATAATATTAGTATATATCAATTAGTTTTACGTATTTTGTTACAGTGTGGTGTTCACATATCAAAAATAAACGACAGTAGAGAGGGCAACACGGATTCAGATTTTCAAATAAAATTGAATTTTACTTCCAAGGAACAACTTGATACAGTTAGGGAGAAATTAAGGGAGAAAGAGGTTGAAGGAAAACTAACTATTGCAATTGAGAGCGAAATGGTTGAGAGGGCACAAGGCTAGTCAATAATATGTTTATTTAAATAAATCTTAATATTCTCGAGAAAAACATGTAAAATTTTAATTTAATGTTTATCTAGAAATTCTTAACATTCCAAATTAATTATCATATTTTTAAAACTGCAAGTATATTTACAAGTATTATCTTGTTTCGTTGGACTTACGATATTTATATTTTCGTTACATATTCCTAAGTCTGAGTATATTAAAATATAAGAGCAATAAATATTTTTTTTGTTGTTGTCAATGTCCGTTTAACGATAAGTGATTTATTTTTTATAAAATATTTTTACTTTGTGTGCAGTATAAAAAATCCTTTTTAATGTTAATATTGCTATAGAAACCAAAGATGAAAGAGATAGTGAGGCCGACACAAACGTTACTACAAGAATAGAAGACAGGTAAGATTAAAATATAAAAAGATGAATTAATATTACACTTATTGGAAGTTATTTTAAAAATTTAATATTTTTCAAGCAGGGACTCACAAAACATTGAAAGTCCACCAAGAAATGACGAAGATCACGAAACTGAGTCGAGCGATTTCCACATAAAAGAAGATTATCTTCGATCGTTGGGCATTTCGCCACCTATCACTAATTGGGTTGATGTCACAAATGTAGGTTTTATTTTATTTATTTTATTTGGATAACCAACAAAAGAAAACATTTTAACATTCATTTCATTATCAAACTATTAATGATAACTTAAATGTCCTTTTAATTATAGGCTATCACATCATGCAAAATATAATAATTGTAGTAAATCAAGATTTAAATTAAAAAATAATAATAATAATAAATTCAATAAAAAACATCACATAATAATCACTAAAATTGTTTTAAATGTTTTCATACAAATTTCAATTTGCTAGTTCCTTTCTAAGTATTTTTTTGTATTCCTTCAGTTTCGCTGTGATAAATCAGAGTTGAAGGAAGTATTGGAGTTGGCAGGTAGAGTAGTAATATGCTCTGTTGTGAGTTCTCTGCACAAATATGCTAATGCTATGTACAGTCACCCTCTGGAAGCTGTTCAGGTAAGTTTTTATTCATTAAGGAAAACTTAAGAATATTCTGGAAAAATCTTTGCAATCTTAGATAACTTTTATTGAATAATTTTCACATTTCTATTGTTTTTCAGGCCGTATCAATGCTTAATGGTCAAATGTTCTATGGGAAAAAACTAAAAGTTACTATAAATAGATCTCCTAACGTTAAAACCTTGTTGCCAAAAGGTCTTGTAAGTGTAGGGCCAGGTTTAGGCAAATTTGGTAAACCGGTTCGTGATTTACCCGATCAATACAAAAGATTCATTCAAGGACAAAACTCTGCGATTGATGCGAGTTTGTTCCAACAAGACCTACTCAATAGAATCGGGGTGACTCTCGATCGGGACGTTAATTACTCACGTTCCTCCGGGACACCTTACAGTCAAACTAGTCAAACTGATTTATGCACAAGAAACAGTGCTGATTCCAGTGAAAGTGTGTCCCAAATTTCTCACATGGATGAAAATCAATTTGGTCCCATCGGACAAAAACCGAGTTTCCATAATACTCCTTTGACGAATTTTACTAGTCAAAACTGTTCCGTCAATATTGACTCAAATGGCTCCAATATTACCGCGAACCGAATGCCAGTAATGAATACCAGAGATCCTAGAAGCAACCAAAATTACATTTGTCCCCCAGTATCAAACGATTCGGGTGATAGACTTGTTATTTCCTCTGCTGTTATACATCCCCAACATCCAGTTTCGGGACAAATCAGAGCGCCTGGTGCAATTCAAAATTCAGGTCGTGTTTTGGGTATAGCCAGTTCCGGGTCTATACCAGGTTCGGGTATAATAAGTTACCCTGGACCTATGACAAGCTCTGGTCCGATTTCCGGGCCTAACCCTATGCCTATCAGACCTATGTCTGCTTCTGGCCCTATGCCTGGGCCTAGTGTTATTCGCGGCCCTATGTCTGGGCCCGGCCCTATGTCAGGGCCTGGACCTCTATCAGGATCCGTTCGCATCCCTGGTCCAGGAAATCTGCAATTGAGACATAGTCCTATTTCTGGATGTGCAAGACCTATGACTGGTCAAGGTCATCCTTCTGGACCAATACAAATGACTGGCCCAAGAGGCCCACGACCCAACCAAATGGTTCATATTTCAATAGGCCCTAGAGTCCCAGTACCATTAAATAGATTCCCTACTCCTATGAGTCCTATGGGATCACGGCCTTTAGCTCCTAGCGGACCAGTTCAGAACGCCATAAGACCAAATGGACCACGTTTAATGACCACTAACGTTCAAATGTTCAGAAGCGATCCCGTCACACTACAAATAAGCAACGTGAGTATTATAAACACAATTATCTTCAAAACAAATGTGATATTCGAACGGTTTTTCCTTTGTAACAGTTGCCGCCGAATACGAATTTCCTGAATCTGGGCCACAAATTATCTGAACTAGGTCACGTAGTGTATTTGGAGTTCACGACACCTGGATGCGCTGTCGTGAGGTTCGCGAACCCAGCTGATGCTGATAGATGCTTTCGTATCCTTTTTGCATATAATTTGGTTATTTCATATACAGTGATTTTGGAAAGTAAAACTTCATAATATTCATGTTTTGAACAAGAAAATAATATGTATTATATTAGGTCGAAAAAAAAAAATACAGTGTTCAAATAAAAAAGCGGTCTGTGAATTGTACAAAATGATTAAAAAAGTATGAATACTTTGACAGCTTATCTATGCTAGCTGTATATTATATTATTCTTATACTCTACGTTTGAAGTCAAGTTTAAATGTCAAATGTCAAGTGTCAAGCATAAATGTCAGGTGTCACAGTCATTTTCATCAGCCAGCAGTAAACTGCGTCCCTCTGAGTTTTCTTCACAACAATGCATGTTTTGTTCTAGTACAAAACTACAATATTATTTGTATATTTTAAACATAAAACGTTAATGTGAAGAAGTGTCTTATATTTGCTAGTGAAAATATTAAAATACAAAACAAAATGGAATAAAGTCATAGTACATATTAACGCACTTAACGTATTTCTTTATAAAACAATGCTTTAACACCTTAACTCTACAACTTTATCCTTTATTATTTAAACAGTGCAGTATCATTAAAAAAATTCCTTAGTTCTATTAACGCGCTAATTAGTTTGATCTACAAACTTGAAGTAAAAATTCGCAATTTTCCTGAAAAGAATTTCTTCAACATGGTTTACAGAAAATTATCGGAATGTTTTAGGATGAAACTTGCTGATCGACCAATGCCGTATAGTAAGTAAAAATTGATGGCATAAAATCAATATCAACATATAATTTTTATACTATGTAATTTATTATTTCTCTTCCAGCCTACATCTGAAAACATGTTGATGCTGTATACGGCGATCAGATTTTTATTTATCTTATACATAGGCATTAATATATTGTATTACATGAAATAGCTTTTTCAATTCTACACATCGTGGACTATTTATTTTCAACTTTCCAATCTTTATGTCTAGTTTTTAACAGGGCATAAAATATGTCATATAGAGGCTAAATGTATCATAATTAGTTGCATACTGAAGAAGTGTTTTGAAGTACTATGAAGTACGAATAAGTTTGAAGTAGGGATGTTGCGGATGCAATTTTTCACATCCACTGTTACAAAGATGCACCTATACGTGCAAAAAACCTCTAGTGTTCGTCTGTTAACTTAAAATACAGTAGTTTATGTACAAGACTCTCAGATGGAGCTCATAATATTTTGTGTGTTATTTTAGATAACAGTTTGAAGTCGCGTTGATTAAGATTTTAGTATATAATAGAAGTCTCAATAAATTACTTTCCTTCTTATTGCTGTAAGTAATGTCTTAAGAATTGCGTCAGGGCTGAAAATTGCTGATGTTTTTTGACTTTCACCACTTGATGTATGTAAGTAATATATGTAAGATGTAGATGGCAATATTTGCAACATCTCTAGTTTGAAGTACCATATAAATGCTATTGGACAATGCTAATTTAAAATATTTAATTATAATTATAGTAAATATGATCTCGTTAGTCCTAACACAAGTAGTATTTTTGTCCATTAACTATTTAATTAATGAATTTTAAGTGAATACGAATTTATTGTTATAGTAAAAGTCATTTAATTTTAAACCTTTATCAGTATATGTATTCAAAAACACGTTTCATTTGACAGTGCTATTTCTTATTGTGGTAGTGTATTTAGAATTATGTGCCAATAAAATTGGTTGATGTGAGGGTAGTTTTAAAATGTGCTAGTTATACCTAGTTCATTCATAACGTGTTACTGTTATTCTGTAATGATTTTAGTCTTAAGTATTTTATATTTTCTCGCAAGTGTGATGGTAAGGATTGGTGATTATTGAGCTTTGGTAGAGTTTCCTGAAAACTGTGTAAGATTAGAAAAGACTGAGAGCATATAAGCGAGAATCTCTTTACGTTCTTGAATTGTTGCATTTTATGATTAAAGTTGGCAAAAAATCATTTTAGTAATATGTACATATACAAAAAAAACTTCATATATTTTAAGGGGTATTAAACATCATCCAATTAACAAGTAATGATTAGAGCATTTTAGAATAATATGTAGGTAGATTCGTACCTATCGTTATAAATCACAAAGTTCCCTTATTAATGGATATTATTAGACTTAATTTTTATTATCTTTTTATAGACAATGGATGGATATTTTTTCCCATCCGCAAATCATTACAATATCCATCAAGGTATATATACAAATATATGTTCTTTCAAGTCTCTAACATTAGTATTGTATTTCACTTCATTCATAAAGGTGTTGAGTTTCAAAATCATTGTAGTTTTTAACAACTACCCACATCATAAAATGCAATAATTATTATTTTTTTATCTATTCTCTGCAAACTGATACCTATTTTATTGTGAGCTTTAAATTATTATTAAATCTTAATTATTTTATATGATGCATTTATAATTTAGGTAACTCTTTGGTTGTATGTAAACCTATATATTTAAATGTAAGTACTAGCTGCAGTATTTAAGTATCTGACTATATGAAATTATATTTTCATATAACTTATATGATGTCTACTAATAAATTAGGCTTTACATTTAAGGATATATAATAATTTGACTACATTAGACATGTGTATATAAATGGAATTAATATAATTTAATGTTACTAGTTCCTTTTCCTTGTTCACGTTTTCGTCTAGTTTGTTGCTTTTATATGAAAAATTTTATAATAATTTTAATATTTTTAACGTTTAATTCTGTTCTTAAAAGACATTTGTCTTAAAAGACGTTAAAGTCGTTTTATTTGCTGTCCTACGTGTTACTTAAAGTAAATAAGGATTAGTTGTAAGTCATTGTTCATAAAAAAATGGATGTGATTAAACTGAATAAATAAATAATGACTGAAGAAATGGATACTTTGTTTTATTATAAATCTTAGGCGATCTGTGTTCTTTTTTTGAATGGTATATAGTTTTTTTACAGCGTTGGTTTGGGAGGTAACTGCTTAAGTCGAACTAGGGAGATTTTTGAGTAAAGTCGTAGTTGTACAATAGTAAGATTTAAAAAAAGTAAGATTTTAATAAAGTATTCATAAAATGATATCAGAAAAAAAAGGTTCACTATACTTGTACATACTTTGGATAAATATAATTTTTCCTACTGCTAAAGTAGTACTTAAGAATAGTAATAGTAGTAGGTATGTACGTAAAAATAGTTACGTTAGGATTTATTGTGTTTTTAAAATAAATTACATATTTCTAAAATAAAAATATAATTAACTGGAATCCAACAGGTTTTGGAAGGGAACAATGATAAAATAACTATACATTCTGCATAAAAATTTAATGAGCTGTCGACTGGTATTCTCTCATTAAATACGATTTTATGGTAATCTAAGGAAGTCAATATATATAAAATGTGTTCTAAAAACTGTGTCTTCCCTTATAGGCATGTATACATATAAGTATAAGCTTTTTATTAAAAATAGTATAACTTAAAAAATATCAAGCAGAGGTCAGTTACAGTGCATAGGCTAAATAAGTTTTAAATCGACATTATTTGAAAAAATGTTTCAAACATCTAACCCATATACGCTTAAGGCGCATGCGCGGCCTTTCATCGCAGGCGCCGGGCTGCCGGCGTGGCGCGAGGCGGCATCTGTTTGTTTTTCGAATAGAAATTTGCGAGTTTAAAAATTAGGTAAGTATATCGATAAATATTCTATCGATATTTTCAATATTGCTATAAATAGTTATACTTTTCACATTAAAATAAATTCATTTAAAATAACTTTTATTAATAATAAATATTACTAATCAATATTATAATTTGGAACTTCTTCAGGTAAATTAACTATGTTGTATTATTAGGATAAATCGTTAATCTACTTCTGTTAAAAATGGTGTTTTACAATCAAAAATAATGTTAATGTTTGATATATCAAAATAAGTATCGAAATAAGTAATATGAATATTAAATATTTATTTATTGTTATGATTTTTTAAATATCTATATTTCATTTATCGATATTTTTTATTCGAGCCTATGCTGCCCTTTTAATAAAAAATAATTATTAGTTAAGTAGTTCCTCGTGGGAACTTCTTCCGAGTGGATTACTTTTTGGTTACGGTTTTATAAAATTGTGTTTTTTTTATAAAATGTACTCCAACCAGGAATATTTCAATGTGTTAATGTGTCTAGGGAGATGTGATTGTAAATATGTATGCGGAATCGCGTAGACTTTATGACGAACTGTTTGCTTCTCCAAGAAACATACCATTACCGTTACTTAAGGCATTTCAGCGTCTTCATATACGCATGTACAATTTCGGAAATGTCGATGGCCGTGAACAACAACGTGCTAATGCGGGAAGGCCGGGGGCTAAGAATGACGATCTAGAGGAACTCATATTAGATATTCTTCGACAGGACCCTACGTAAAGCACGCGCTCGGTGGGACATCAACTCGGTGTCAACCAGACGCGTCTATATGGAAAGTTTTAAAGGAAAATGGCCAGCACCCGTGCCATTATAATCAAGTACAGTGATTAATTCCTACAGACTTCGAGCCTAGAATGGCATTCTGCAGATGGATTTTAAACGAAAACGATGAAGACAGTGAATTCTCGAGCCGTAAACTTTGACTAAGTGTTATTTTAAATTGATTCTTAACATAGTGAAATGTATCGATATTTGAAAAAAAGTGGTATCAGTGAAACGTTAAAGTGATTAAATAATAAAAATAATGTGGTGTGAATGTGAATGTGTGAAAAAGGTGTGATGGCGCCATTGAGTTTCATCGTGTTATACCACTGGGTATGTACAAACATTTGGTTACTCTACATATAATAATCATTTAATACCTATTTAATTTTATTATTTTTATTGAAGAGTTTATAAATGTAAGTTGTTTAATTGTTGACACAATTTTTCATACACACTATATGACGTCGCGTCGATTTTGGATTAGTTTAGTAATAAACTTCATCGGGAATTCAGTTGATTTGTTTCATAGAAATTATGAACGGCCAGTGCTGAATAAGGTAGTGATTGTGAATGAATGTTAGGGGACCGCCATTATGCTATTGGCAACCTTGAAACAAAGTGCACAAGCCTAACCTATTGGCTCATAATCTATTTTCATCTTATTATTTAAATGTGATGTTAAATAAAATTTTAAAGAAATCGATTAATTCGATATTGGAAAGTACAAGTTTGCTTTTATTTATGAGTTCCAATCGTTACAATGCCCATGATGGATATGAATAGCTAAGACCGCCATGAAGCGTTCTCCTGACGCTCCGACATAATATATACTCGTATATTTCTTCTGATGCTAACTGTTTTTTAAAGAAAGTTAGAGGCAAACACATTAATAGGAAAGAAAGCGCTTCTGATTATGAAATAAATCCAGTGAGAGAGTTAGCTAAAAGGAAACGTACGTGTTAGTTTTCTGATACAACAAAGTAGCTCTCAAGAGTAGTAGTAATTGCTATTTTACAGACACTTAGTAACAAATGAGAGGTTCACTAAATTACTTAAATAAGATATTGTTTTTGTAAATTCCTAGCATATTACCACATATAAAGTGTTTATGTTATATGAGTTGTCATGTTAATTGTATTGCAAATATACATCGTTTTATATATTTTTATTTTCAGTTAATGTTTTTTTATGTTAATATTAAAAAAATAACTCCCCTCTGTTAGCAGTCATGTCAGTCAATAGAGAGTTTTAAGGTATTTAATATTAAATTAAAAGACGAACGGTTATAATCGGACAAATCTATACAGGGTGACTGGTGAATTACTATCAATATTTAAGGAGAATACTCGGTACATGATTCTCATTCGAATT